TCGGATCCCACATACAGACCGGCCGCTCACTGGCTGAGCGAGGTGCAGGCGCAACACTGAGGGTCGCGATCCCGTTGCTGGTCCCGGTCCGGTACGGGCGCGACACTGAGGGTTGCGATCCGTTGTCGGTCACGAAAAAAGACAAAAAAGAAAAAAAAAAGAAAGAAAGATCGTAGGTTGAAATGCACTTAATACACCCACCCTACCAAACGTCATAGGTTAGCCCAGCCAATCCTAAATGTGCTCAGAGCACTTACATTAGCCTACAGTTGGGCCAAACCTTCTAAAGGGCCAGGACGCTGGTGCTGGTACTGTCCAAGGAGCCTTCCCATCCAGGCCTGTTCATTTCGAGCTGAGGTGGTACCGTGTGTCATCAGCTCTTGCGCTGCTCTGCCATCTCCTGCTGGGAATCCTGTTTCCTTGGGCTGGTGTTAGAGATCTGGGCCGGCCAGGATGGTTGGATTTTCTCGGCAGCCTTTCTGCCTCCAGCCCCTCCCCGGGTGAGGAGGGGCAGGCATGACATTTCTCTTCCCCATTCTCTCCCTTTAAGATATTCTCTCCCTTTCACATATGAAGCCGTTGAGGGTGAGGACATCCAGTCAGCACCATCCTGTCTCGTGGGGGACACTGAGATGGCACAAAGTAGCCACACACGTTGGTCTCCTGGCGTGTGCTGTAAGGTACAGGAGATGCAAGGACGTCCAGTGCTTCATGCTTTCTTGTCACCTGATTGATAGAGGCACCCATGGGCTGGTGTGGCTCTGCCTGTTGGTGCTGTGCTGTCTGAGGGACACTTTGCCAGGTCCCCTCGTCCATGCCTGCAGGAAGTGTGGTCGGCAGGTTTGTGGACCAGAGCCGCTTGCTCCTGGGCCTGGCCGAGCGCGCTGGCATCCGCTCCCCTGCCCGGCTCAGCCTCGTCCCGCTCGCCCCCCGCGTCCCTCCCGGCTGACATCGTTCCCTTTTCCTTGTTTGCAGTTCTGAGTATCGGTGAAGGCGGCTTCTGGGAAGGCAGCGCCCGCGGCCTCATCGGATGGTTCCCGGCCGAGTGTGTGGAGGAGGTCCAGTGCAAGCCCAGGGACAGCCAGGCAGGTAAGGCGGGCGCCAGGCTGCAGGCACACCTCACTGCCTCTGGCCCCCCTCGGGCCGCGGTAGGTGCTGTCTGTTCCCCTAGAATCGCGCTGCAGAGCGAGGCGTCCTCTAGATCTTTGGAAACAGCTTGGTTGATTCTGTTCCACTGGGCTTCGTCCAAACCAGTAATTCATGACAAGATGCTGTGGAAGCTTTCAGTTAAAAGGCTGCTCAGTATTCGTCCCGGAAAACTTGGAGCGTATGTTCTAGCCATTGGAGAAAGACTACTGGGGGTTGATTAAATTCCTTTTTTGATCACTTATACCGATGTCATAAAACAGGCAGCTTCCCACTTACAGGCAGGGCTCCCCCGTGGTCTTCCCGAGAGTGCACAGAGCGCGGCTCCAGAAAATGTGCTGGAAAGTGTTCAGCATGCGCGACGGGAAATCACTCCAGCATCTCTCCGAACTCCCAAATATAGCACTTGCTGAAAATCGTTTCAAAATTGATTGCCAAAAGATTGCATTGATTGAAATGTTAAGAGGAGATCACTTATATAAAGTGTTGTTGAGAAAAAATATATATGAGAGTTGGGGAAGGTGAACCCCTCAGAGCCTTGTAAGAAGCAAGCGCTTCGTGTAAGAACCTCAGACTCACCATGCACGCGTCTGAAGCGGCCACATACATTTTCCGGTCGATGGCCTTGCTGTGTCTCCTTGTGTGGACCCTGTGGCCACTGAGATCTGCCTAGATGTGCCCTTTACTGGTTTTTGAGGTTCCCAGGCTAGATACTCACCAGGTAGCTCTCTGCCCCATGATAGATCTGCCTAGTACAGAGTGTTCTCAAAACACCCGCTGGGCAAAGCCCAGAGGTATGTCCCTGTCCTCAGGGTCCCCCTCTAACCCGGCTGGTTTTGCAGCCTCTTCATCAGGAACACTCAGCAGGTTTCCTTTCTGAGAACTCGGTTTCAAGGGTGGTCAGCTTATGGTGAGCTTCTCTGCTGTTGTGTCCCTGCTCCGGCTCAGACACCAGACGGTATTATGGGGGTATCAAGGTAAGATACTTCCCAAACTTAAACTTGAAGGAGAGGACCGGAACGTGCTCTGCCGGGTGGGTCCATGCTCAGCAGGCAACGGGAGCATGTTTTTCTGGGGGTGGTGATGAGGATACTGAGCCCCTGGCACAGGCCGGACCACCCAGCCCCTCCAGTGCCCATCCTCCCCTGGTCCACACTCATTCTCTCCTGCAAGCAGCCTACCCCGGCCTTTCTTGTTGGTGACGGGCACGGCTTACGCCACCTTCCCAGGTTGCCCGTGCTCCGTCTCCGCTGCCCTCCCTTCCGAGCTGGCCCATCACCTCATCCCTCTCTGCTCTTATCTTCAGAGCCATGCTGGGCCACTCCTGTCTCCATTCTCTCGTTGGGAAAACCAGGCATGCCGGTGCCGGGCATTGCTGGCTCTGCCACACCTGGATGGGCAGACCTGGAGGGCCACGTGCGGAGGCGGTAACTGGGGTCTTCCTGCTCTCTCCATCCTTCCAGGAGAGCAGCAGGAAACAGCAGGGCAGCTTGGAGTACCCAGCACCCTTCCCCTCTGCTGTGAACTTTTCTCGCCCACCTGCCAGGTCTGTCCCAAGTCCCTGGATAAGAACATGTGGCTTTCCCTGGGCCTGTTGGCGGTGTCCCCACACGGGTAGGTGGACAAGGTGTCGCCTGCCAGGCTGATGTGTATCCCGTAGAAGGAACTTGCAGGAAGGCAGTGGCTTGGGACGGTGTTTATTGTGGGAGGAAGTTGTTAGGTGTGACGGAAATTCCTAGAACGGCATTTTTGCTCCTGCTGCCACTCTGCAGGACAGTGTCCTGGATAAAGCAGCATCCCCTGCCTGGGCTAATGCTCACTGTGGGTGCCCTGGCTGGTTCTGGTGAAGGTCACCTCAGGGCTGTGCACTTGTCCTGGGCAACTCGAGAACACGGAAGCAGATCCCTGCCTCTCGGCATCTGGGTGCAGCATGGAACAGAGGTGCCCTCGTGCGCCCAGGCTCCCTGCTTCCCGAGTACCCTCGGCCCTGGCTGAGGAGAAGGTAGATAAACCACATTTCCTATGTGCCCTTAAGCACCTTAGTAGCTGGAACAAACTGCCACAAACAGCAGAGTTATTCCCTTGCAGTTCTGGAGGTCGGAAGTCTGGTGTGTGTGTTGCTGGGGCTAAAATCAAGGTGTCCTTTCTGGAGCCTCTGGGGGAGTGTTATTAGTCTACTCCTGTTGCTTATAGCAGAATACCTGAAACTGGGTATTTATAAAGAAATGAAATGTATTTCTTATAGTTTTGGAGGCTGCAAAGTCCAAGGTCCAGGGAACACATTCTGGTGAGGGCCTTATTCCCGCTGGGAACTGTCTGCAGAGTCAGTCAGAGGTGTCACATGGTGAGAACAGGCTGAGCAAGAGAGAGCTGACCTGCTCACCGGCCGTCCTTGTAAAACCATCAGAACTGCCNGGCTGAGCAAGAGAGAGCTGACCTGCTCACCGGCCGTCCTTGTAAAACCATCAGAACTGCCATGACGCCACGAATGGATCAATTCATTCACACGGACACAGTCCTCACCATCTAATCACCTCTTAAAGACCCCACCTTTCAAATACCATAATCTGATCTCGCACCCTCTGAGCACTGTTACAAGGGAGATCAAGTTTCCAATACCTGAACTTTTGGGAGATGTATTTGGCCCATAGGATGGAGAATTCGTTTCCTTGCCTTTCCTGCCTTCTAGAGACTGTGGCATTCCTTGGTCCGTGGCCCCTTCATCTATCTCCAAAGCCAGCAATTGTGGGTCAGGTCCTTCTCCGTTTATGTCTCTGACCCTCCTTTCTGCCTCCTCTTCTTCCACTTTGAAGGACCCCTGTGATTAGATGGGCCCACCTAGATAATCCAGGTGCCTTGGGTTGAATGTCTCCACAAAACTTAACCCCTACTTTAACTACTGAGGGTGGAAATCCTATCATGGTAATTGGAAGGTGGGGCTTTGAAGAGGTGATTGGATTGTAGGACCGGCCGTGCCATCATGGATGGATTTAAAGAAGTGGCATGGTTCTGAGGGCTTTAAAAAGAGGGTGGATGAGAGGTTAGTCTTTCTGCCTTCCATTGTCCTGCAATGTGAGGGGTCACTGTCACCACCAGATGTGTTCCCCGGACTTTGGACTTCCCAGCCTCAGAAACTGTAAACAATAAATTTTGTTTTCTTTGTAAAATACCCAGTTTTGTTATAATCAACAGAAATGGACTCATATATCAGATCAAGGTAAACTGATTAGCAGCCATAATTCCATCTGCATTTTGCCATTAAGGTGACCTACTCACAGGTTCTGGGGGTCAGGCGTGGGCATCTCTGCAGTGGGGTCATCTTTCTCCCTGTCGGGGATGGTGAAATGTCATAACTGTACTAGGATGCAGAAGGCGGCGAGTCAGAGGAGAAAGGCATCCCTGTCATGGGGTGGAGCAGAACGTACCAGAGAGCAGCACAAAGAAGACAGAATCAGAGCCGGACTTTGAGGGAGGGGAGACTCCAGAGCAGTTCCTGTTGGGTTCTACTTCCCCCGGGGCTTTCTCAGATTGTAACTTATACCATGTTTTTGTATTAACTTCTTCTACAGAGGTGTAATTTGCAGAGTAACATGCACAGATTATGAAAATAGTTCCATGCACTTTGACAGAGGTGTGCACCCATGTCTCCAATTGTAATTAAGATATAGAATGTTGGGCCGCCCAGTGGCGCACTGCTACAGTGCGCCGCTTGGGAAGCGCAGCGGCTCTCCCGCCGAGGGTTCGG